AAGAGGTTGGAAGTTAGTAGCATGACATGGCTATTAGTGGAAGATGATGTGGATGTCTTGCATGTTGAGATAAAACTTGAGATGACATGGATAGCTTGCATTAAGAGGTTAGATGTTAGTGGCATGACATGGCTATTAGTGAAAGATGATGTGGATATCTTGCATGTTGAGATAGAACTTGAGATGACGTGGATAGCTTGCATTAAGAGGTTGGTAGTTAGCGGCATGACAAAGCTATTAGTAGAAGATGATGGGGATGTCTTGCATTTTGAGATAGAACATGTAGTGGAAATTAGTTTCATAAGAGATATATATGGGTTAACTCATGGTCCTTAAAATTGGCCTTGAGGCCATGGGCTAAGTCCAAGGCCAAGATCAGATCAGCCCATTCCTATCCCTAGGTAAGCCAATAAAGGTGATGTATCTGGAGAAATAGAAATCTAGTTAGACTCAGTCGACGACATCCGAGAAGGTTATTGTCATCATAAAGTATACTCGAAGGGGCTTGTAGTCTTGCAAGACCACACCAACCGCGTGTTAACGGTGCATACAGCAAGAATAAACCGTCAACTTTACATGCATTTATCCTTAAAACCAAACATCAAGATAGGTTTAGAGGTTTTAAACTAACGAATTCCATAAGTCTTGGTGAATATTTGTATGCAGGTTGGTTTATATAGAAAACAGACCAAAGCAGAACATTTAGAGGCATCCAAGGATTCCGGATTACTTCACAGGATCAACGGGCCCATCATCATACACACCAAGTATATAAACAGACATCAACAAGTGTGCAAATAAACCTGTGAAAACCCACTCAAGACGGAGTGTAGGACCCACCTACCAGAGGGGGTGGCCCACCTACCATGAGTGGGGGCCGCCGAGGACCTGCCCTATGGGCCCTAGGCCTCCGCCGCCTCATGCACATTTCTAAGATCTACGCCCTTGATTCTAAGGCGGTTAAGGTCGGTTTATCCAACGGTAGTCAAGGGAAGTGACGCGGATCGATGACGTGGCATTGGCTTGCTCCCTACTCCATCTCTCCTGTAAAAGGACCCCAGATCCCCTCTAGAAAGGCATCCATTGGGATCAAGAAACACCATAAGAGAGAAATCTCCACTATACCCTCAAGATGTAGAAGTAGAATAGTTAAGTTGGGAGTTAGGGAGAGTTGAGCTATGCTCAGGTTCTAGAGAAATCTTCGAATGTTTGGTATATCTTTGTATCTTACATGCTTTAATATAGTTATCTTCTCTATTTACTTATATACCTTTCATGTTTATCTAGTTTATGCTACAGTTGTATAGCTGAGTATGGTTTGTATAGTTCTCATACCTTAAGCATGGGATCTTCGCCGAGTGCTTTAGTTATTATATGTGACTAGAATAGTAATCAATGGCCCCGTTCGCTTCCCTGAAAAAACAAGTGTAGACGGTTGTGATTCTTCCGATGAAAAAACAAGTTTATAAAAGAAGCCAGGGGTCAATAGTGTAGACGTGGTGTCTAGACTATGGGTTATTAGTTGTGGTAGCCCCTAAAGTGATAGCTCTGTCAGGCCTTTGTAATCCACCACGTTCGCATTGGTGTTCGTAGAGATTTAGGCAACCTTCCCCCGACCATGCTTCTCACCCCTTGAGGGTCGGAAAAGTACTGATGCTCCAAAGTGTTATTGTGTGTGATTGCTATATCTATCCATGCTTTAGTTATACCCTCTGGTCTAAACTAGAATAGAATCAAAATAACAGAGAAGTATTTAGAAACCTTAAACTCACCCTTTGTCCCCTCAATTTAGCTAGACTACTCATTTATTTTACCATGGAATTCTCCTATGCGTGTTAATTATTACTCATGACTCTTATCGTTATCATCGCTTACACCACTTTAGTCTCGTCTAACCTTACTCCTGGGTAGTATCTAATCAGGTGGAGTACAACTGCACACTAGTATTGGACAACATATGTCCTCCGTCCTTACGTTGGCATTAGGTATGATTGCTCTTGCTCCAGGATTATATTTAACAGTCTTTTAGGTAAAATGAGCTTAGTAAACATTTCAGGAACGTGGATGTGTAGTGAAGTTTACCAGAGAATTGAATCTGCACAGAAAGAAAAAAAAAGAAAAAGACAATTCTGGTAGAAAACTGAGCAGCAGCATAAGTTCCTTTTCCTTCTCTGGCTAACACTGATGTTCCTGGCAGGAAGTCGGGAATAGCTACAAACTCTCTTCAGCCATGGCTACTAAAAACACTAGACGTGACGTGCTACAAAAGTACAGTGACTACGTTTCACCCAATCCATCTCACACTCTCCATGAAGATACATAACATCTGGCCTTGGCCTCAAAACAGATTACTGCAGAGTTCTCAGTGTCCATTCCACCTTGCTTGTGCATGCAAATGAATGAAGTTGTGAGCTTCTTTGGAGGGGAAGATAGAAAGCTTTTCTGAAAAGATCACAAGACAGAAATTGGTATTGGTAACTATACATGGTTTAAGGCTGTGCGCTACTGCTGCTGCTGTTCACCAGGAAATCAAATTTGGTTCCATGAGTTATCTTTTAGCAAAGCTCGAATTTACAAGCTTGCCTAGCTTTGTAATTTCATGGTATGTTCAAAATCATTAATACTGAAGGGTTGAATGATGAGAGAAGTTTCAAGTATAAAGGACTAAAGTAGCTTAAGAGCAGTACTTGCCTGACCATTTACTGCATCCTATTTGCGGGACTCCACCAGGATGTAAACTGGTTTCCCGTTGAGCTTGTAGAAATCCTGCACGTAAAAAAAATTGCAACCTCAGTAGACCTTGCTGTGCCTCTCTTTCAAAAGAAATGAAAATTTTGAACCTACCGAGGTGGCTTAAGAAAAAATAGTTATCCTCGTCTAAATTATCCCCATTGAAGGCCATGTTTAGATTGCAAAAAATTGCAAAAATAGTTATCCCAATCCAACTAAGCTCAAAAGATTATCTCCAACTAAACTGAAGTTATTTTTTTACCTACATTTAATGCTCCATGCAAGCGGCTAAAAATTGATGTGATGGAGAGAGAGTGAAAAAACTTGGAATTTTGATGTAAACTAAACAAGGCCGAAGTATTGAACAGGCAGACTTAGGTGGACTATAGGGTCTAGGGCACTAGGCTTAGTTCCACAACCCTCTCTATTTCATCATATATAGAAACATACCTGCTACATATGCTAGATTCCGAAGAGTTCAGCTTATACATATTCCTTTTGTTGTGGCCAATGGCTATCAGCTATCCTATCCATAGACCATAGGAAAAAAACAAGGTCGTGTGGTATGTAAAGTTGTAAACTAAGGTAAGCTGTTCTTGTAGCCCTGACCACATATACACCTATCTGTTACATCCTACAGATAACATAGGTCTTTTGACCTTAAGGTTCTCAGTTTTACTCGTAGGAGGAAACATTGTCAGCACATCATTTCATTTATTAAAAATCTGCAGTCACATGTATAGGAATAGTTACAAGCAGACTGAGGTCGAATACTTCCTCAGTTTCCTTTAGCTAACTAAAGTGCATGTAAGGAGCATATTGGTGGACCTTGAGAAAAAGCAATATATTATATTTTGGTACCTTTTCTGAACGAACTTATATATATTTTGATACCTTAAACTTGGGAAGCCCAATGAGGCATGCACACTCAACCACGTTAGCTCCTGCGCGCTCTGGAAATGCAAATAGTTTCAGCAGTCATGGAAAGGTTAGTTAGAAGCCACTTTCTTTCTAGTAACTCATGATATAACTGAGAACACAGTATGTAAACACCAGAACATATGCTGTTCGAATATTGTAAAGATCAGTTGCATACAACAGTCCACACAAACAACATTTTGTAATTTGATGAAAAAGAAGGGGAAGGGAAGATAGCTGAAAACTTCTAACATAGTGGTATCCCTTGTTTGCTTATTCTATGAGACACGAGTGCTCAATTCATATCCACAAACTTTTTGCTTGTAACATCAAATAAATGAGATTGTGCATCCAGTCTCATCGAAATCATGCCTATAGTAATTAGCTACCCCATAGGGCGTATCATTCGGACAAGATTTTGTCCTATGATGAATAAACAGCTTGTCCCGCTTAAGGACAAACTTCGTTTACAGTCAAAAGAATATGATGTCCTCCACTCTACATGTCATCACGAAGTTGTTGAGATGCTTCTCAACACCGCAAAGATACTCGATACACCTTTTTTACGCAACAATCTCTGAACTACTACACAAGTACAACCTCAACCAACCTTTTTCCGTATAACGCATCTGACTTCTCTTTTTTCCTTTAAGTTTCTCGTTCTAGGATCGAGAAATCACTGGTGAAAATATTTTCTTTGCTCATAAAAGGAAATCTGGAGTGATAGGTTTAAGTTTTATGTTGGAAAAAATGTTTCCCTTCTTTCGAGAACACATTGTTACATGATTAAATTAGCAGCTAATGGTTGATTGAAGAGCACAGAGTGTTTGATTTCTGTGTACTAATGGTTTGTTCTAATACTCAAATGATATACTCCACACTTCACACAGCTAAAATATAAACATTTAAGAATAGCATCTTTGCATTATACCTATGAACAAATGGGGAAAGTTCCTACAGTACAGGGATTATGTCAAAAGAAATATAAGTGCAATAGTAGTGTTTTTGAGGTCTTCCGTCATTATTAGTACTACCAGACAATAAACATCAACCAGAAAGATATGTGTTACAACTCGCCAAATATTTTTTATGATGATTTCATTACATATTTAGAGCACTAATGCTAATAAACAACCATGCAAAGTTGATGGTTTGCATCCACATATATATCATATTCAACTAAACCGACTTAGGAGGAACTAGGTTGCTTTATACATTAACAAGAAAATAGCATCCAAATTTGCCAGACTTGAACCAAGGTGGTATGGCTTACATTCCCACCCTCAACCAACTAGAGCTAGGCTAAGCTTCCTCAAATATATATCATATTAAACATAGCATGTAAGAATTTACTAACCAAGAAGTCTTATTGCAGCAGAAAGAGTTCCACCAGTTGCAACCAAATCATCAACAACCACTACATGCTCCCCGGGTTCAATAGCTCCAACATGCATCTCCAAACAATCCATCCCATACTCAAGTACATAACTTTCAGAAAATACCTCACCTATAATGTTATAAAAGCAGCAATTATTATCTGTGGGAACTGTAACAAAACAGCACACTACAATGAGTGTCCAGCTAGTTACGGTTTGCTTTCAAAAAAATTACAGTTAATAATATACTTTTGTATAATGATACTTCCACCTAGTAACAATCCTATGACATGCTTTTTACCATGTGGCATATATTGGTATCTTTGGGTTTCACGGTGAAATAAAAAGCAACAGATCCATATATCGTTATTGTTTTTGCTGATGTGGTAGCTATATATGGCATGATATGGTCTAGAGTATGTAGCATATGGTGTTATATTCATTTTCTGAGTAAAAAGTTTACAGTCCAATATATTCAAGATATAATAGCCCTTCGCTTCCCCAACACCGTTGAAGCCAAAATTATGTGTGACCTAATTTATAAAAGTTCTGTTCTTATTTAATTCTCCACCCACATCACCTGGAAGCTTCTTAGGTTTACGTAGTGGTATGAACTTTGCTCCAATGGCTAGCGCAATGGCTGGGCCAAAGATGAATCCTCTGGCTTCAATCCCTAGCAAAATATGAAGACTTGGTCACATGATAATTAAGTTTGAGAGGAGGATATATATGAAGTTAGATTTGAACATGATTATGCATGGCTGCGGTAAAAACACTTTCAGACATTCCTCGTGTGATCAAAAGAGTAACTTGATATCTTTATGTAACACAGCAAAAACCGCAATGACTGTACCGCAATGACTGTAAATAGAAGAGAAACCAAAGGGTGCAAAAATAGAGGTCGTCCAGACAGTGCCGTCCAAGAAGATGCCATACAAGGCCACGTTTAGTTCCAACAAAACTCCTAAAAATGCACTATGCAAAAAAAGATTCTACGTCATATCAAACTTACGGTAGATGTATGGAGTACTAAATGTAGACGAAATCAAAAACTAATTGCACAATTTGGTTGTACTTTACGAGTCGAATCTTTTGAACCTAATTAGTCAATGTTTGGACAATAATTCACAAATACAAACGAAACGCTACAGTAACGCATTAATTATTTGGGCACTCCCAAATCCGGAAACTAAACGTGCCCCAAGGAACACGAGCACCGGACAAGCTGTTTTTTGATGATGAAGATGAAGCAAATCCTCCGAGCGAACCGCAACAGTCCACCACACAAGTGATGCTCTACTTTGGCAGCTGTCACGCCCAACAGGAGATCACTGTGCACATGCAGAGCCCCGCACGGGACCAGGCCATGCGCAGATCGCAGGACTAGGAGGACTAGGAGTGGACGATAGAGGACAAATTACAAGGAAAGCGCGACCACATCTCGGCGTCCGAGCCGACACCGCATGTGCACGACCGCAGCCGTTCGATCAGGATCGCGGCGGCGCCCCACCACGGCGCCCGCCGCCGCCACCACCACCACCCCGCCGGTCCCCGCCCCGGCACACACGAGGCACGTCCCACTTGCACAGTCGCTACTCATGAGATCGCGCCGAGAACTGAGCTCGATCGACCGACCCCGCCCAATCAGCAGCCGTGGCGCGGCGCGGCCCCCAGGGACGGGACGCCGTGGCGCGGCGCGGCCGGACACGACCCAGCGGCCCTGCACTGACGCGAGACCATTGCCGTGGCCCCCATGCCGGCCATAAACCAACGCACACGCCCGCAGCCCCGCACGTAGCGAGCAGATGGTCCTCGACCTGCCCTCCCAGTCCCAGCTGAGCTCGGCGGCATTGGACCCCTGAATTATTACCCAGGGCCAGATAGAACGTCAGATGAATAGATGATGAGAGAGGACTAGAATCAGCATATTTTAGGACTTGGTATCAACATTGAACTCGATCACCTAGTACCCAACTGCTTTGCAGGTGTAGCTGCTGCAGGATTTATTTATTTTACTGTAAACAGCAGCAGGAGTAGACTGTAGGAGTATTTGTAGGCGAGAGCGAACGAGAGATTAAAAAAATGCGTAGGTGGAGGTGGTGGTGGTGAGTGATGACAAGACCTGATCGGCTGATCGCAACGAGCGAACGACAAAGCGTGGGGGACAAAAGGAGCACGGAAGATCTGCCCCAAAGATATTACGGAATCTCAGGACACCACCGCGCCGCGCCCGCCCAGTGCCCCCCACCGACCTGTCGTCAAAGCCTGTTTTCGGTTGGCTGCGGCGTATACCATCGTAAATTAGTACTTAATCCATCCCAAATTGTAAGACGTTTGATTTTTTTGACACTAAGTTTGACCACTCGTCTTATTCAAAAATTTATGTAAAATATCACTTCTTTCGTCGTGGTTTGATTTATTAATAAAAATTCTTCAAGAATGACTTAAATTTGACTATATTTGCACAAATTTTTTGAATAAGACGAGTGGTCAAACTTGGGGCCAAAAAAGTCAAACGTCTTACAATTTGAGATGGAGAAAGTAGTATTTTTCTCTCATATCAAATTAGTCAACAATACTTCGTCACGATCCTACAACGACCAGCGCCAGCAAACCGAACAGACGACAGCACAGCACCGAGCGGCGGCCGCGGAGGGTCACTGTTCCTCCGCTAAAATTTTACTCCTATTATATTAAATCGAATATTCGGACAAATACATAAAGTATTAAATATATATAAAAAATAACTAATTATACTGATTATGACTATCTTGCTAGACAAATCTTTTAAACCTAATTAGTTCATATTTCACAATAAAGTGCTACAGTAACACATATGTTAATAGCGAATTAATTAGCCTTAATAAATTCGTCGGTAAGCCCGACAAATGCTAAAATTTGATTTTTTATTAATATCCGAACACACTAACGACACCGTGTAGCATCCGATGTCACACCCCCCTCCAAACTTTACGCCCTGCTCTAGACACCCCCCTAAGGAAAGTGAACGGCCGGCGCCAGTGGTGGTGGTCGCGACCCGCGAGCAGGCAGGCAGGCGGCGGCAGCTCCGCTTGTCATGATGAACCAATGATGATGACTGGTTAGCTCGGTGGTCGGTTCCCGATTTGATTTACCTGCGACGGCGGCGATGCCCATGCCGCGGTAGCGCTCGACGAACATGTCCACGGCGTCCTTGAACACGCCCGGCCGCAGCAGCAGCTCCGTGATGTCGTTGAACATGATCCCTGCATGCGCAAACGCATGAGGCGGCCGCGAAAGAATGGAATGAAATGAACAACATGCTCCCGTGTGCCCGGGCCGCCGACGTGCGTGCGTGCGTGCCCGATCGAGGCCTCCTCGCGCCGCGCGTGCGGTTCGTCCGAGTCAACCGAATGATTGTGTTGGAGACGAGGGGGCGGACCTGGCTTGGGAAAGTGGGGGACGACGCGGATGGCGTCGGAAATGCCCTGCAGGCGCGGGTCCGCGGCGCCAAGGCTCTTGCCCTTCGCCGAGGCCGCCTCGTCCACCGCCATGGAGGCGTTGTTGCCGCCGCCGATCTTGTTGTTCTCCTGCTCCCCCATATCCACGAGGTCAAACCGATCGACGCTCCGGCCTCACTTGGATGAAAATCACTGCCGGCTTATAGCCCTTCCCTCACGACCTGGCTATGGGTATGGCTTCTTGCTTGTTCCCTGACCTCGATCCTCAGCTCAGTTCCTCCCTCTGATCTCCAGCTGTCGCTTTGAGCGGCCGCTGGAGGTGTGTATAAATAATCACGGCAAGCCGAGACCAGGTACAACCGCGGGGTGGCCGTAGCAAGCACCAAGGGATGTGTCTGTGACAGTGAGAGAGAGATAGGCTTAAGACTCCATCTTGGATTGGAAACCGGCCGCCGGGACCACCATTGTGCAGTGTTTTTCTCTAGGCCTTGTTTAGATTATAAGTTTTTTTTTTCTCTGTCACATTAGATTTTTGCACATATGCATGGAATATTAAATATAGATAAAAAAATAACTAATTACATAGTTTGATTATAAATTACGAGACGAATCTTTTAAACCTAGTTAGATCATAATTAGACAATAATTATCAAATACAAACAAAAATGTTTTAGTACCAAATATTGATTCCTAACCTCTATCTGAACCAGGCCCTACACACTGGCGGAGCCAGGGGGGGGCTGGCAGGGGCCATGGCCCCCCCCAATGTTTGACAACAACAAAGATTAGTAGTATAACTTAATATTTTTTATTTATATTAAGAGGAAGATTATATAAAATTCTTGTCATATATACCTATTAATATCTTCTAGATAATATAATCATACAAAACACAACTAGATAATAAAATTATCGAATGAAAAAAACCTAACCTTCCCAAGTATAATTCCCGACTACGCCGCTTTTTGAATAAATCCAGGCCCCCTACAGATTTTAGAGAAGGGCAAGCCCTGTTCAGCCTCGCTCACCTTGCTGGTCAGTCAGTGCCCAGTGGGCAGTGGCCAAACCTCTTTCTCCGTTTCTCTCTCTCTCTCCCCCGACCCCTCTCTGTCCTGTTCACGAGCCAGTAGTAGCCGTGTCAGCACTGGAGTTTGGGCTTTATTTAGTTTCCGGACATAGGAGTGACCAAATAATTAATGCGTTATTATAGCGTTTTGTTTGTATTTGTGAATTATTGTCTAAATATTAACAAATTAGGCTCAAAAGATTCGACTCGTAAAGTACAACTAAACTGTGCAATTAGTTTTTGATTTCGTCTACATTTAGTACTCTATACATATACCACAAGTTTAATGTGACAGAGAATCTTTTTTTTTGTATAGTACATTTTTCAGAAGCTTGGTAAAAACTAAACATGGCCTTGACTACAGTTGCTACCTCGACTAGCCTGCCGTGGTTGCCCAAATCTTTATGCCAGATTTTGCATGAAGCTAGGTCCCAAACGCCAACAGTGTCGCAGCAGCACCTATGCTAGCCGGCCGGCCGGAAGAACCTTGCCTACTAGCTCTTGCATGGCTGAATAGTCTGTTCGATTGGCTGATTTGTTTCGTTGCTAGATTTACGAAGAAATACTATTGATTAGTTTATGTAAGAGAAAAATACTATTCAACTAAAAAATTATAATCGTTTATGACACACCACGGCCAAACGAACATGCTGCCGGATCCGATGCTCACCCCTGCTGCCCTGCATCACCGCATGACTTTTTCTTCTATGGAATGACTCGTGACACGTCTGCGCATTGCCCAGGGTAGTTGGTGTATGGGGTGCACGGTGCACCATCTGTACGCTGCTACTAGAACACTAGTAGTAGTGATGCCAAGATCAAATGACAGCGTGGCATGTGTTGATAAATGAAGAGGTTTCTACTACTAGACGTGTAAACGTAGGAGTATTACGTCTTCCACCAAAGCTGTGGATTAGCTCCAATTCCAGAGGCATCGAATTTTGGACGGTGCCAAATTGATGGGAATCAGCCGGGCGGTATAGTACCACTACTGGCATTGGGCGCTGTAGGTGTGGCTAATGCTAAGGTATTGTTTAAATTCAAGGTGTAAAGTTTTAGATATCAAATTGGTTGTTAAATGGAGTGTCACGTGAGGTGTTCGGATATTAATAAAAAAATAAATTATAGAATCCGTCAGTAAACCACGAGACGAATTTATTAAACATAATTAAGCCATCATTAACATATATTTACTATAACATCATATTGTCAAATTATAAATTAATTAGACTTAAAAGATTCATCTTGTAAATTAGTCACAAACTATATAATTAATTATCGTCCAACAGTGCCCACGCCGCGGATTTGACCGCTCCGGCATCGCGTCTTTTCTCCCACGGAATCATTGCCATGTGATTTCCGCGCTGCCGCTGCAGCATGACTGCATGTACTGCACCCTGTAGCTGTAGTACTATCCGGAGTGTTGGATTCGAGCTGCTAAACTTTAGCAGCTACTAAATAATTTAGTTATTTTAATAACTTCAAAGTTATTAGATAGGGCTAAAAAAATTTTTAGTAGTTTTTAGTTATAGTGTTTAATTAAAAAGTTATTAAAATAATTAAAATTTATTAAATTTAGTAGTTCTAAGCGAACCAAACAGACTCCACTAGTATCAGTACGCGCGAAGGCGCAGTACGCCGGTACCTGCTCGTACGCAGGCTGCATGCGCGCCCGCCCGGCCTATGACCTAAGGTCCTCAGGCGGTCAGGCCTCGGCGAGCCTCGGCGGCACTCGCCGTCTCGCCCGGCCCATCACCGCAGAGGCCTCGTCGGTGATAAACGATAGGCAATATAAACATAAACGACGAAAAATATTAGATCCAACACAGAGAAGACGAGATCTTAATATAAAAAACCCTTCTAAAAAAGAAAAAAAAACCACAAACACCCGTCAATAAGTCTTCACTATATCCGGTGAGGTTATAAACGTCTAGGATTTACAACTTTTCTTATCCCAAACCTCCCGACAACAGACCTCGCTTTCGCTCCAATAGAAGTTAGTCTTTATCTTTATCTTGTACATAACTCAATTTTATCATAACTCAACATTATCCACAGCGCCCCTAGTGGGCAGCTAGCCGTCGTAGCCTGTGTGGACCGCGGCGGGGAAGCAATCACGCATTCACGAAGCGGACTAGCGGAGTGCACGACGGCGACGGGATTGGCATCCGCGACCAGCGGAACGGAAGGGGAAGCGCGACTGGCCGACTGCGCGACCGAGCGGCAACAGGGGAGGCCATACGGGAGAGTCGGCGCAGAAGATGGCAGGGCAGCCGGAGCTTTCGACCTACAGAGGATTTCTGGGTCAGCGAGCCCAGATCGAGCGTATCCGCTGGCAGTGAGATCCGGGATATTGCCGTGGGCCCGTCCTGCCCACTCCGCATCTCCTGCGCTGTGCTGCGCCGTAGGTTTTGGACCCAAGCTCGGGCTAGGCCGTACACGGAGCCAGCCGGAGCCCGGATCCAATCCAATCGAATTGGGCTACATGTGCCCATATGCCGCGCAAATATTTTTCCTCCTTGCGTGCAAAAAATTTCCATTCTAGAACAGGGCTAAAACTCAAATATTTAAAATTTAACCAATTATATATATATATATATATATATATATATTAAAAGATGCGAACTGATCATAGATAAGTTGTTTAGGTTCCTTGTGGTAGAACCTGCCCACCCAAGTTTAAGTCCTCGACTTGGCACGGGTGTAAGTATTTTCCTGGATTTATTCCAGGATTTAACGACGCTATGCTCGGCAGCGAAGTGTCAGTGATGACTTCGTAAATCTCGAGATCTGCTGGCTCAGTCCTTCGGAGGTGCTCGCCAGTGATGACTTCGTAAATCTCGAGAACCGTCGGCTCAGTCCTTCGGATGTGCTCATAGGGGTGAGTGTACATGCGTGCGTGTTGTGGGCGTCTGCGTTGTACCGTGTAATTCTCAAAAAAAATATGCTAATATTTATGGTACGAAATAAATATTATTATATTCATCATGGAATATATTTTATAGCATATTTATTTGGAGTTATACATGTTGATAATATTTTAAAAAATAATCAAACCCAAGATAGTTGAGTTTGATCAGATCTAGAATTGCATCGTCGTTTGGACGGATGTAGAGTAGTATGTTATACAACTTTGCTACGTTTGTGTTCGTATTCTAAAAATCTTTCCTCTCATGCTTGAATTTTTCGCTTTCCTTTTCCTTTATTTCTTCTTCACAAATAGAATGCGTATAAAAGAGAATAAAACCAAAATTCAAGTAAAGATATACTCTCTTCCATATCTAAATTTTAGTTAATGCCACCTTATGTTGGATTTACGCTTAGCCTAAAGAGGGGTGGATGTGAGCGGTGCCCCCGAATCCTTGGGTTCCCTTCCAAGAATCTATATTAACACTGCTAGTAGTTAGCTTGGCCAAACCAATAGCAGCCAGCAATGCATGGTTAAGCTCGACAAGAGCGGCAAGTCTCGACTGAAATGTCCCGTGAGCACCAAATACGGTGGAGGTTGAATTGGGCGTCTAATTTAAACTTAAAAATTGAGGGTCAAATTAAACCACCACTAGAAAACCCTAAACTACTCAACCAAGATGTGCCTTCACCTAAAGGTCATAAATACCTCAAGCGCTCCGATAATTTGTGCTTTACCAATGATATGATAGTCACTGGATAAATATACTACACCTCTGGCTTTCGAAAAGTCAAATCTAGCTTTTTCTTGCACTTTGCACGTTTTTATATAGATAGACTTGCTTCTTGCTTTGTAATTGGTCCAAAAGGAATATTATATTGTTTGGCCTTAGCAACCGAACTTTTGCTCATTTTCGAATCAACTCTGCCGATTATACCATTTGGCAATGTCCCTTTTTCTCTATGACTAGCCGATGACTCAATGATGATCAGCTTCTGCGTTAGTTTTTCTAAAATATTCACAAAGTTGTTCCTCTAATCGACCACGAACCAATAGTACAAGAAGGCAAATATGTAAACCATGAAAAGGTAGTACCGGTGAGAGATAAAGGGAATGTTTGTATTTTCATCTAACTTTCTATACTAACATCATCCATTTGTGTGAGAT